TCAAATATATATTTTTAAAAAATTTCTTAAAAAATAAAATAAAAAAGATTAAATATTTATATGTTTTATATTTTTATTTATAAACTTATTTTTTATTAGAGAAAAGCAATCCATCTGAATGATATCCATAAGAACTTTAAAGAAAATATAATCATTATTTGAAATATAGAAAATATTTAATATATATAATTATGAAGTATTATTTATATATAATTATTATTTATCAAAATACTTTTTTGTCTAACCAGGAAATTTATTCATAGGAAAATCTATTTCTGCAAATCCAACACATAATTCACTTTTTAATTAAAAAAAATAATACATTTTTTTATAATATATTATTTTTTTATAGAATTTTTATTTTTTTCCATTATTATAGTTTAAAACTCATTAAACTAACAAAAAAAAAAAAGAGAATTATTTATTTTATTTTTTTCTTTCTTTTTTTTTTTTTTTTGTTTTTAATAAGTTTTTTTTAAAAAAAATATATGAACAAGTAGTATATAAATATTGGTGTTTTTATTTTGTTTTTTCTCTGTAATTTCTTTAATAACTCTATAAAATAAAACAATTTATATATTATATATAGCCATTTTTTATTTTTATTGAGTATTTAAAAATAATTATAGGGAAAAAATAAAAATAATAATATATACAAATAATTTTTAAAAAATCAATTAGGATTATATTTATTTATATTTTTTTTTAATAACTTTTTCTACCTTCCTGCTACATTATCAATAAATATTTCATAATAGTATATAATGGAATCAGCATTTGCGGGTTTATTTGCTTAAATAGACTTTTATAAATTTATATAATTTGGTTTTTTATTTTTTTTTTAATTTTTTGTTACTGCAGTATCACCGTAATTAAGCTTTTTCCTGTATATGTTGCTGAAAGTGTGCTTTTTTCTATTTATACAAAAGGATTTATAGATTAACGGAGTTATGTTTTATTTGTTTCTACATTTGTTTAAGTAGATTTTTCTAATAATTTTAATAAATATTCTTAACTCATCTTACTATTTTATATTTTTCTAATTTTAGTATTTTTAATTTTATTTTGATTTAATATATATATATATTTTTTTTTTCTAAAAAAAATATATAAATAAATAATACATCATTCTATTTAGTTTCTGAAATAAATAAAAAAAAAAAATTTAAAGAAGTAATATTTATTAATTATGAAAAAATAAAAAGAAGTTTTTTTTTTTTATTTAAAAAAAAAAATATTTTTATTTAACAATATAATTAAATATAATAAAACTAAAATTTAAAATGTTAAAAAAATAAAAGTCATTTGGAACTCTTTTCCTTACATCATCCACTTCAAATGAAATAAATGGAATCGATTTATCAAAAAACAGATAAAAATTTCAAAAATTAACATCTCAATAGTAATTAAATAATAATAAATATTATTTTTTATAATAAATCAGATAATAAATGACTTAAAATACAGAAAAAATATCAGAAATTTTTTGTTAAACTATAGAATAAAAAATATTTCAAGTTATAAAATAAATTAGAGAATACCAAGTTTAAATAAATTTAAATTCACCAAGAACATAATAAGCAATAAATACATTAAATTTATTTGCTGAAGAATTTAGAATTAAGTATTTTTTTAAAAAAATAAAAAGGAATTAAATAAAAACATATTAAATAGGCCTGAATATGAAATAGAAAAATATTATTAATATAATTTATAGAAAACTACTAATTAATCGATTTAAAATTAAAGTATTTCTAAAGAAAATTAAGATATATAGGATCAAAATGATAATTATAAAAATATTTATAAATATCCAAATAATTAAAAAACAAGATATTATTAACATCTAAAGAATATATTAAGTATATTTATTTTTTAATTTATAAATATAATATATTCTTTTATAAAAAAGATAAATATAAAAATACAAATATTGAAAGATAAAAAATTATTAAGAATGAAAACGATTAAATAAGATAAACAATTTACTAAAAGTAAAATCATAATAAAAAATTAAATTAAAAAAAAATAATAAAAAAAAAGTGGTTAATGTTAAACATAATAAATAAAGAAAAGAAATCCTTTAGAAAATTTAGATTTTAATTACAAACTTTAGCAATTAAGCAAAAAAAAACAAAAAATGCAAAAAATAATTGATGTAATTTATAATTTTAATATAATGATTTTTTAAAAATTTATTATTTTTTATATATTTAACCAGTTAAAAGCAATGAGTGTTTTTGAAAATGAATTTTAATATAGATAATGGTAAGAAAAATCAAAGATTATAGATTAATAAATAAAAGATGGTATTTTAAAACAGGAAAAAATTGTAAAATAAAATAAATATAAGTATTTTTAATTATAATTAATTTTTAGTAATAATTATAAACAAATTAAAAAATGAAAAATATTAAAAATTTATGGATAAACTTTAATAATAAAAACGTGCATAAGAAATATATACTAAACGAAAGATAGATAAATTTAATAAAAAATATGAAATGATTTAAAAAAATCTAGATGATAAAAAAAATTAAAATCATAAAAAAGAAAATAGCAATACTTTAATTGAAAAATTAGAGTTATCGAAAATTAATTCTACATAAGTAATTATATATTTTTCTTATTTATTAAAATATAAACATGCTTTATTATTTAAATATATTCTTAAAGAAAGATGATTTTAATATTCATACGATAAAAATGAAATTAGAAGAAAAAGAAATGCAAGTTTCTTAGTTAGTTTAAGATTTAAATAATTAAAGAAAAAAAGAATTAAGGTAAATTAATTAGAAAAAGCTTGAAAAAATATAAAGAATAGAATAGATATAATAAAGTATGTTTGAAGAAAACATAAATGAATTTGGTTAAAAATAAGTTAAATAGTTAGAAGTTTAAAAGAATAAAGAACTACTTTTCTAAAAAAAATAATAGGAATAAATTAAATAAGAATTATTAAAAAATAAAAAGTTTTAATAAAATATCAAAAAAATAGAATAAACAAGAAAGTATTTTTATAAAAAAATATTTTCTTTTTATAAATTTTTATATTTATAAAAGGGATTATATATAGGATCTTAATTATTAGTTTGAAAAAAAAGTTGAATAGGCTCAAAAAGCTATTGTATTTTAATAATAAATTAATGTTATATATATTTATATTTTAGGAATTCAGAAAATATGAATCTTAAAAAAAAGGAGATTTATTAAGAAAAAAGATTGATTAATCAATGACTGCTTCATAAAAGATATGGTTTAATGATGTAAATAAAAAAAAATAAAAAAATATTATATATATAAAAAAACATATATATAAATATATATCTAAGAATATATATTTAAATAAAAAAAATAATGATATATAAATATAAATATAAATATAAATATAAATATATTTATATATTTATATATTTATATATTTATATATTAATATTTATTTAATAATATATCAATTTATATATATTTATTTACTTTAACACATTTTTATTTATTTTTTTCAATAATATTTAATTTTTTAAATATTTAATTATATATAATAGCAACTTAGTAATGATTTAATAATGGAAAAATCAAAATTATTATAAATTAATTTAAGGAAATAAAATGATGAAAAAGAATAATTAAAAGCAATTGCAATGTATTTTATTATAACTTATGAATATATAATTAATTTATTTTCAAGGAAAACACATTAAAATTAACATGCTTAAAGAAGTATTAGAAAAGAATTTACAAATGGTTTAAAACGATAGTTCTAATAAATTATATTTGTAATAATAATATATTTTTCATTTTTTTTAAAAAAAATTATTTTTATTAGAAAATATAAATATTTAAATTTGTCTGAAAATTTATTACAAAAATATTATAATTAAACAACTAGTGTAGACAATAAAGATGAGGAAGATATAATAGTATTTTTATAAAATATTATACATATAAATTTAAACATACTTTTTTTCTTAAATTTAATATATATATAGACAAATAAAAAGTAAGAAATCAAACCCATATTTAAAAAAGGTGGTGTTAAATTTAATTTATCTCCTAAAATAATTAAAAGTTTAAATTAAGAAAACATAAATATTCATAAAAAATCTACATCTTGATATAAATATATTCTTTTTTAATATAAAATATTTTATTTTTAATGTCTATAAATATAAAAAATAAATTAATTATATATCGAATAATAATATTTTTTATATAAAATATTTTTTTTTAAAAAAAAATAAAAATAAAAAATCGATTGTTTATCATATTTTTAATAAAAGAAAATTTGATAATAAAAAAAACATATATTATTTAATATATAGTTTTTTTATTTTATTTTTCTTCTTATTTACAAGCATTCAATTATTTTTCAAAGTTAAAAAAAAATAGAAACTAATTGAGATTTTTTTGAGATAGCAAAAAAAAAAAAAAAAAAAAAAAATATTTTAAAAAATATGAGAGTAAAAGACCATTATTATTATTTGTTATAATTATTTTTCTTCTAAAATTAGAATTTTCAATTATATATACAATTTTATTATACCTCTCTTTTTATTAATTTTTTTTTCTTTTTTCTTTTATTATAAATCTTAGATTTAAATCTTCTTCTATCTATTTTTTTTTCTCTTTCAATATATAGTCAAAATAAATAAAAAAGTTTAATATAGCTTTAAATCTCTATAAGAATTTTTTTTATTTATCAAATTTTCTTGATTAATTAAAAAAATAATAATAATAATTATAAAATATAAAAAAAAAGAAATATAATCTAATATATTCTCATTATTTTTCTTAATATAAGTATTATTATTATTAGCTTTCATTCCTATATTCACCTTCGATTTCATCATCATCCTCTCCATCCGAATAGTCTTCATCTTAATCATCATCTCCATAATTATTTTCTTCTTTTTAATCCTATTCTTAAGGCAATAATTAAGTAATCATTTCTAAAGCCAAGGCTTTTTAATCAGGCAATAAAGTTTTGATATCTTATATTTTTTCTAATTTATAAACAAGGGAAAGTCTAATATCTTAAGAATGAATTTCTATTATATCATTAAGGATTTCCTAATCATCAATTAAAATATATCCTTCGAATGTTTCTCCGTCATTATCTGGTTCATTTACAATAGTAATTCTTTTTAAACATTCCTTATTTTGTTCGCTTGTATTTTTAGGATATATTAAATCTAATATATCTTATTCACTTAAAAGTTATTTTGTCTCCCATTTTAATATACTAAAATGGTTTTTTTCGAAAAACTCATTAGATTCTTGATTTAAAACATTCATTTATTATAATAAAGCTTAAACTTCTCTATCATCCTTTAATAGTTTCTTCATGTCTTCCGGAACTTTATTTGTTATTGGTTCCCCATCTTAATTATAATAAAAGTTTTTTCCATCTACTACATCTACCCAACCAAATAATATATTATAATCATAATGTTTAGGCTCTTTGGTGTCTTTATCGATTATTGTAAAACCGAACTCGCTTTCATCTTCATCGTATTCTTCGAACTTTTCTATATTATGACCAGATTTTTCATATTCAGTTTCTGGAAGATATTTTTGTTCGCGAAATGTAAATTTTTTTTTGTCCATTTTTTTTTTGTTTTATTTTTTTATTTATGTAAATAGATTTCTTTTACTAATATTAGGGAAAAAAAAAATACATATACTTATTTATTTTTATTTAGGATTTTTTTATTTTTATAAGGTTTTTTTTTTTTTTTTTCTAATTTTAATATATTATATTTTTATTTATTTATTTTTGTATATTTATAATATTTAATCACATTTATTTTTTTCTTTTTTTCTATTTATTCAAAGTTATTAATTAAGTTTTTAATAAATTAATAATTTTATACTTTTCTATTTTAATTATAAAAAATATATATAATATTTATAGAATATAGATATTGTATTATAATTAACTTCTTTGTGACTTTAGACATTCGAAATTTTATTTTTATTGCAAACATTATAGTTAACAAATTTAATATTTAATTAAAAATAATATTCATAGAATTATATTAGTATAAAAAAATTTAAAATAAAAAATATATAAAGAATATATTTAAAATTACTAAAATATAATATTTTATATTTTTTTTTAAAATTACTTTATATATTCTAGAATAAATATTTTTAATACAGATAGATCAATTATATAAAATAGGATTTAATATTATTAATTGAATAGTTAATTAGTATTTATTATTTATATTTTAAGTTAAAATTATATTTATTTTATCATTTTTTAAGTTTTATAAAATTATTATTTATATTAGTATGAATATTTTTAGGTTTCAGTAATTATAAAAATTGTTAATTTTTACATTTGCAAAATTAAAAAATTATGTAATATATACTATATATATTAATTAATATATAGTATAAATTATATTTCTATTATTTAATAATAATATATAAAAGATAATTTTTTTATTTGCCATTTGTCATTTAAAATTAATTTATTATTTTTAAATATTTTAATAAATATATATATATTATATATACACATATATATATATATTTTATTAATTAAAAACTGTGTATATAAAAAATAATTATTAAAAAATATATATATAAAATCATATTTTTAAAATAATAAAAAATAAAAAGATCAAATACAAAATAATAAAGATTTATTTAAAAATGCATCCCGGATAAAACAAAGGAAGAATATAAAAAGAAATAACTGATTTTCATAAAACAGTAAAAAAATAAAATATTATAACTCGATTTTCAAAAAAAAACAACATTTATATAATAAAAAATATACAAAATAAGGCAGAAACAAGTAATATCAAAGTATAAATAGTAGGAAACGATCTAAATCATTGGAAAGGATATATAGCTGGCCCTGTATTAACTAATAAAAAATAAAAATATCATAACATATATAACATTTTTTTTTAAAATAAAAAATATATAAATAAATATATTTTTTATTTAAATAGGAAGATACTCCTTATGGAGGAGGAGTATTTTAAATTGATATTTAATTACCTAGTGAATATCCTTATAAACCACCAAAAGTAATAAAAATAAAAAAAAGGATTTTTATAAAAATATATAAAAAAAGATGAAATTTGATACTAGAATTTGGCATCCTAATATTTCTTCATAAACAGGTGCAATTTGTTTAGATATTTTAAAAAATGAATGGTCACCGGCTTTATCTATAAGGACTGCTCTTCTTTCTTTATAGGCACTTATGTGTGCTCCTGAACCTGGTATTTTTATTTTTATTTTCTTTAGATGTTTACTTTTTCTTTTTATTTATATAGATGATCCATAAGATGCTGTTGTTGCATAATAATATAAAAACTAAAAAGATTAATATATTAAAACAGCCAAAGAATGGACAAAAAATTATGCAAATACAAATGCTTAAGATGAAAAAGTTAAAAAATTAGTAGAAATGGGATTTGAAGAAAAATAATGCCGAGTAAATATTTTTTTTAAATATTTATTTATTTTAATAATTTTTTTGTAAATTATAAAAGGAAGCTTTAATGAAATTCGGATGGGAAGAAGAATTAAGTTTGAATTATTTACTTGGAGGAAATTGAAAAATATTATATATATATATATATATATATTTATATAAAAAAACATGCATATATAATATATATTTGAAATATTTTTTTTTTTGTTTTATTAATAAAGTTTTTCATTAATAAATAATATTTAAAAAAATTAATTTTTCTTCTATTATATTCTTTTCATATATATTTTTTTATTTATTTTTTGTCTTTAATATTTTTAAGATTATATATCGTATTTTTCTGGAAATAAAATATAAATAAGCCCATTTTTTTAGATTTATTTTACTAAAAAACATTATAATTACAAATAATTGGTATTTTACTTTTATTTAATAAAAAATTTAATTAATTTTATTTTGTTTATAATTATTTTATAGATTTTTTTTTTAGTTATAATAAGTATTATATATAAAATAATATTTCTGCTAGTCAAAAATAAAAAGAAAAAAAAAGTATAGTTACCTATATTTTTAAAAAATAAATAATAATATTAATTTTTATTTTTTGAAAAATTAATATATTAATTGAATATATATAAAACAACAAAAGAGAGTTTAAAAAAATAAAAAATTATAAACTTCATTAAATAAAAAGAAATGCAAGCGGATAGTTTAGCTAATAATTATATAGAATCAAGGAATCATCGGAAATTCAGAATAGGATTTTTAATTTTATTAATATTGTCTTTATCGATTATAATAATGAAAAAATAAATGCATACTACTGTTTTGTACAATAATAGTAATTAGGTTTAAAATTGGGACTATAGTTAATTTTAAAATGATACTAAAAAACTACTTTTGTACTAAACTTAATAAAGTATTGATGGATATTCTTAATTATACTAAGCCTTGTATGATAACTATTTATTTAATAAAACAAACAGTTTCAAAGACACTAATTAATTATATTCAAATTATTAAAATGATTTGTTATTTGGTATTTTGCATTCCTTATAAAAAAAAATATTCTAAGGAACATGGAAATAAAATAATAATTAATAAAAAGTAAAAATGAATTTATTATTTTTTTTAATTTTAATAAAAATCAAAATAAAAAAGCTTTTGAATATGTTTGATAAGGAATAAGGAATTTTAGAAATGTTATTTTCATAATACAGAACAAATTCAACATTTCTAAATTTAAAAATGAGAAACGGAAAATTTATCGACAGAGAAGTTATGGTTGGATATATAGAATTGAATCATGATATAACTATTTAGTTTATAAATTAAAATCAAATTTTGTTACAAAATTTAACTTTAATTTACAATCTTTATAATTAATTTGAAAATGTTTATAATAATAATAAATATGATAATTGTAATTTTTCATTTATTATTTTTTATTTTTTTTTAAATAAGAAGGTCATAGCGTTTAAATAATAATAAATTTCGACGAAAGTAATATGTAAATAGCTGATTAATATATAGATTTATGGAGCCCTATTATTAATATTTAAATAGAAAACTAAGATAAAACTTAAAAAAGTCCTTATTTTAATATTAATGCAATACTTGATTTATAGGAATAAGTAAAATTATATATAAATTTATCTATTTTTTTTATATATATAAAATTTTAAATTATATATAAATATATTTAATAAAGAATATTTTATTATTTAAATAATAATTTAATTATACTATGTTTTTGTCAGGCCTATTATTAGTCTAATTTCACTTTGTTGTAAAAATTATCAGAAAAGTTATTTCTGATGATTTTTTATATAGAAAAATTTCTTTACTTTCTTTATTTCTTGCATTTGTTTGGGATGGATTTTTTTGTATAAATCATATATTGTATGCAATACAATTTTAAGTATATATATATATATATATATATATATATATATATATATATATATATATATATATATATATTAAATAATAAACATTTAAATACTAATAAGTAATATTTCGAATACTATGCAACTCCTTGTATTGTCTATATACTTTTGTGGAATATATGTGAGAGAACTTTGATTTCTTTAATATGGAAAAATAGATATGTAAATAAAAATTAATTTTTTTATTTACTATATTTTTAAAAATAGGATAATAATCTATACTAAAGTATATTTTTTAAAAATAGAATGTACTTCTTTTTATTACTATGTAAAATAAATACATTTTTTTTTATTATATAATTTATATAAATTTATATTTAAAAAGATTTTATTTTATTCGCTGCTCTAATAATAATACAATAATACATAGTAACAGATTGGTTTTTGTGTATAATGAACCTTTATTTAATACCTTAAATAATAAAAAACGCCAGATAAGGTTAATAAGTATTAGTTTATAAAGAATTTATATTTGGATTAATGTTAACAAGATCTATTTTATTAGTAAAATTTTAAAATAAATATAAATAAATGATATAATAAATAAAAAAAATAGTTATATTTTAAAGGTTATGAGGGTAATATAGCAAATTTAAGTCCTTAATATTTTACATGTGCTATAATTATAATTATTTTAATCTTTTAAGTTGTAATGCTTTACCTTTAGTAAATATACGGACCAAGATTCTTCGTTCCAACTATTTTATAAAGAGATGCCTTTAATTATTTTATTTATATCAATTAAAATACTGAAATAGAATTAGAAACACAATCAGAGAATACAGAAGATTGTTCTATATGTATGAACAATTTATCAGTTAATCCTGAATAATAATAATAAAAAAAAGAATTGTATATTACTGTAATTAAATAAAATAAAATTATGCAAACACCTTGTAAGCATAAATACCATTGCCAGTGTCTATTAGAATGGATGAAAATAAAAATGGAATGTCCTTCATGCAGATCTATATTACCACCAGCTATACAATGATAAAATATATATTTATATATTATATGGATTAATATATATAAATGTAATTACATATATTAAAATATATATATATATTTATATATATATGTTTATTTAAATATTTTATAATATAATTATATTTAAATATATAAAGTCATTTTTTAAATATATATTTTTTATTATTCTTATTTTTATAAAATATTTAATTAATAGATCAATTAAAAGTATCACTATTACTTTCAAATTTTATAATTTTATTATTATTTTCGTCTAGTTTTTTTTAAAAAAATAAATAATTATCTTATTTATTTTATTATATATCTAATTTTATTTATTTAATATCTTCATACATAGTTTCACTTAAAAAATATTTATTATTAAATTTTTCTTTTTAATTTTATATGTTAATTCTTAAATCAGTCAATGATCTTATTTGGTTTCTATTTTAAGAAGTAACATTTAATGAAAAAAGAATATCTTCTTCATTTTTTTGATTATTATTATTATTACTACAACTTTTCTATTCAACATTTTAAAAACAACTATCTTATTTTATAGTATTATTATTATTAATAGTATAATTGCTTTGTTATTCATATTTTTCATAATCCTAATTTTTGCTTGTCGTATCAAATCCTATATTTAAATTTTATTCATATTTTTGATTTTATTCTTCTTATAAATTTTATTAATTTTATTAGTTTACTTATTAATTTTAAGCATCTATTTAAAATTATATAATAAAGTTGATTTATTCTTCATTTAGTTCACTTATTTAATATTTTTTTATTTGATTCAGCATATTAAATTGTTCGAAAGTTAATTAATCAAAGTTGATATTATTAATAATTTATTGTAAATTTAATTAATATTCAATATATTAATTTTGGGTTTTTTCTTCTTCGTCATTTTCTTAAGTAAATTCATACATATTTGCAATTTCAATGATTTCTGTATATTTTCCAAGGTTTTTAGACATGTCGATTTTAGCTATTTTTTTGATTTTTTTTCTACATAAATAACACTCGTTTGACTTTTTCCATATGTCAAGTGAACATTAATAACATACACCTTTTTTTAATCTTTAAAGTAAAAAATATATAATAATATTTAGATATATTAATTAATTTTTTTTTTATTTTTTATTTTTTATTTTTATTTTATTTATTTTTTATTTATTTTTATTACCTCCATGATAACAATCTATTATTACAGAATCAGGAGGATTTTCAAAGCAAACTATACATTGCTAATTTGCTTGTTAAGACGATATATTAGACTTATTAAATTTTTAAGATTTTTATGATTAAGTTAGATCTAATTAGCTTTTTACAGATTTTTTGTTCTTTTGTGTTAATTCATTTTTTTCTTGTAATGCTATTGGATTTACAGATTTTTTATTATTATTTTATTATGAATTTGGTTGGAATATTGGTAATTATTTTGTAGGATTTATTTAAGTTTTTTATAGATCTTCTTTAATAAAATCTTTTGTTATTTAAATTTACTAAAAATATGTAGAAGAGTGCTTAAGTAGAAACTTAGGAAAATCACTAGGTATAATGTTTGATATATGAAGTTTTTTAAATTTATTTTATTAGACTTAAAAAAATATATAAATAGATAAAAATATATGTAAATATATAAAAATTAATAAAATTAAGAAAAAATATATATAAATAAATAAATATATAAATATATAAATATATAAATATATAAAATATATATATATATATATATATATTATTTATTTTATATTTTTACTTTAATTTTCTTAATCATTTTGTTGATTGCTGTTTATATGTTATTAATTTTATTATTATTCTTATTGAACATTATTTCTATTATTAATTTCGTTTTTATTTATTATATTATTTCTATTAGCTATAATAATAAAAACACTATTTTTTTTTTAATAAATTAACAAAAATATTAAAAAAACATTAAATCATTTTTGCAAAAGTAGGAATATAAAACGTTAAATGTACTTAACGAAGCACTTGTAAAAAAGAAGACTTTAAGAATATCTAAATTATCATACATTAAATAATAAATTAACCCTATAAGAAAGAAAAAATATCCCATAACAATATACATACTAACAATTAAACACCAAAATAATCCTTTAACTTTATAAAAAAATAAAAAGTAAATAAATTATTCAATTTTTTTTTAAAAAAAAACCTTAATAAGCATCTGTTTATCCTAAAATATACCAATAAATAGAAAAAAAAAATATTATAATCAATCCAATAATATAAAATCCTAAAGAACTTAATAATATCCAAGAAGGTAAGAATATAGAAGGCCATTACCAGTTAACTATTTGATCAAATTATATACAAAAAAGTATTACTTGACAGACTATATACATCCTTAATAGCAACTAAGCATGTTTGTTTACACTTTCTTAATGTCTATTTTTAAAAATAATCCAAAAAATAATATGTACAAAAGGCGTGTGTGCATATATATATGTTATATTAAAAAATAAATATTTTTAGAAAACAAAAGTCAATATAAAAGAAAAGTTAATACATATGTTTTCAAATAGACTATATTTTAAAGACTATATAAAACTTGTTTATAATTAATCTATTTAATAGCAGATATTTTTTTTTAATTATACGAAAGTCTTAAAAGTAAAATATAGAGAAAAAACAAAACAAAACAAAAATATTAGTTAATTTAAAACATGGATAAATAGAAAAAGTATTAAAAAATTATTAATAATAGCAAACTTTATCAAATTTTATAAAGCGATTCGAAATATTTATTTTGCTTTAGCTTTTTCCTCTTTCTCAATTTCAAATAATTCCATTAGATGTGCATCATTATTTACGTTTTATTAATTAGATTGATTATTTTGAAATACAATTATCTAAGTATTTAAATTATTTTCTTATATAATATTTTATTAGTTGTTATTTGAAACTATTATCTACTCAAATTATTATTATTATTATTATTATTATTATTATTATTATTATTATTATTATTATTATTATTATTATTAATACTATTAGTTTTATTAATGTTATTTTTAAATATTTTCAATTTTAAAATCTTCTTTTTTTCTTAATGTTGGAGGTGTATCTGGCTAAGGTATTTCTGATTCTAATTCTTCAGTTTTTTTCTTTTAAGGTTTTTAAAAAGAGCAGTTATTAAACGAATAATCATTTTCGTATTTTGTATCTGTTATATTTGAATATTTGCTCTAATTATTTTTATTTTGAAGGGTTCTTATGAAAAAGCCGTTTGTATTATTACATTTTTAATATTTTTCTTATAAAATTGATATTTAAGATTAATCTGTTCTATCTGTTTTTTAATCATCTTTCTTTTTATTTTATTTTTATTATTTTTATATATTTTTTTAAATAACTTTATTTGTATTTTTTAATGTTTTAGTATTTTTATCTTCATTATGATTTAAATTCATTTTATATTTTATATTTTTCAAAAATAATTATATATATAATTATTGAATAATTTTTTAAATTTAAATATAAATATAATTAAAATAACTATAATAATTTAAATTTATATATTTTTTTTAATATTCCTAATAAATAATATATAGAGTATATTTTTTTATTTTATTTTTTTTCTTAATTTTCATCATTTTAACAGCTTAAGTATTTGTGTTTCTTTATAAAAATTGCATAATTATGTTAAATTTTTATTTTCTAATTAATCATTTATAAAGTTATTCATTTTTATGATTCCATTAAGCAATTTTTTCTTAGTGTTCTTTTGTTAATTATTAATATTATTTTTGATAGTAATCTTTAGTTTTATCATCTAATATTTAAAATTCTAAAGATGCTTATTTAGTAATAAATCCTGTTAAATGTAGTTATTCTTTATTATTAATAATATATTTTTTATATTTATCTTTAAAATTTTAATAATTCTCTTTTAAAAATATATTAAAAGCACTGCTTGGTTTTTTCGGAATTTCTTAATTTTAAGACTATTGATTTTTAGGAATTTAATTTAAATTATTATCTTAATTATATTATTATTTTTCCTGTTTTACTTAAGATTAACCAATTATTTTTTAAAAAATTTGTTTTTCATTTTATGATAGATTTTAATAGTTTTATTGACATTTTTCAGAAGAAAAAACTACTTTTATTTATTTATCTAAAGATTTGGACTTTTTTTTAAGTCTTTTTCTTTAGTTTACTTAAAGTTATTTACCTTAATCATTAAATTCAGCAATTTTTTAATAATATTCATTTTTTAATTAATGGTACTTCTCTTGGTAATAATCTTTAGTTTTTTAATCTAAAATTTCAAAATCAATAGAAGCTTGTCTAGAAATATAATTATATAGAGATATTTATGTTTTATTTGTACATTTGTTTCCATATTTCTCTTTTAGATTTTAATAATTTTCCTTTACAAATAAATGAAAAGCACTTATAGGTTTTTTTGGAAGTTAAGAAGATTTTTTTAATTTAGAATGTGCATTTTAAGCAATTTTATTTTCATATTGAAATATTTCTTATTTATATTATCCTTGAGGTTAGTCAATTTTTTTTTTTATATTCTCTTTATGACATTTTATTAAATTTTAATAATCCTAATGGCATTATTTATAAGTAAATTATGTACCTTAGATTTTTTTTTATTATTTCATAAAAGCTATAAATACAGTATAATTATCTAGATTAGTACTTTAATCAAAGTTCATTTATTTTTGATTTAGTTTCATTTTATTTTTTGTTGATGAATTTATGGTTTTTTAAATATTTTATTTTTTTGCTAATTTTTTATTTTTTTTCAATTAGCTTATTAATATTTCAATTATTTATTTTTATATTATTTGATATAAACTCAAAATTATTTTTAATAAATTAATTTTTTTATAATAATATATAATGATTTTATTTATTTTATAAGTAATTTTGTTTGTTTATTTAAAATTTAAAACTATATTATTTTTGATTATTATTTTCTTCATTCATACATTATTACCTATATTAGGTTTTTGAATATAAAAATTAGACTAAAATATACTTATCCACCCCTCTACCTTATATCATTTTCTTTTACCTAAAAAATAAAGTTATTCATTTTTAAGATTCCATTCTGTAATCTTTTCATAATATTCTTTTGATAAATATTAATATTATTTTTAATATTATTCTTAAGTTTTGTCATCTAATATTTAAAAATCTTTAGAAGCCTTATTAGCGATAAAATTTTATATGTTTTATTATTTTTTATTACTAATAGTAAAATCTTTAATATATTTATCTTTTAAAGCCTAATAATTTTACTTTACAAACAAATGAAAAGCACTTAAAGGTCTTTTTGGAATTTCCTAAATTTATTAAGATTATAATTATTAAGATTTAGGAATATAATATAAATTATTATCTTAATTAGATAATTATTATTTTTTTTTTTCTTAGGATTAATAATGGCTTTTTAAAAATTTCACTTTGACATTTTTTTATAGACTTTAATAGTTTTTTTGACATTATTATTCAGAATAAAATTCTGTTTTGGTTATATCTAAAGATTTTGAAACTTTTTTTAATTAATTTTTTTAGTTTAATGAAAATTAAAGTAATTTGTTTTTATTATTAAATTCAGTGATTTTTTCATAATATTAATTTGTCAATTATTAATATTTTTTTTGGTAGTAATTTTTAGTTTTTTAATCTAAAATTTAAAAATCTTTAGAAGCTTATTTACAAATGCAATTGTATATAATTTTTTAGGCCTTATTTTTAAATTTGTTTTCATATTTCTCTTTTAAATCTTTATAATTTTCTTTTACAAATATATGAAAAGCGCTTTAAGGTTTTTTTGGAAATTATGAAGATTTTAAATATCTATTTTGTGGAAGAAGTTCATGAACTTAATTTTCGTTTTACATAATTTCTTATTTATAATATCCTTAAGATTGTTAATAAATTATTTTTTTAAGTTATTCTTTATCTTCATTTGGCAAATTTTAGTAATCTTAATAGCATTTTTTATATGTAAAGTTTTTACCTTAAATCATCTTTTATTATTTTATAAAAATTAATTACATGTTAAAATCATTTAGATTGTAATTATAATCAAAGTTTATTTGTTTTTCATTTAAATCCATTTAATATAGTTTATGATGATTGTTTTAATTAATAAAAAAAGTATTAATTTTAATAATTATTATTATACTAATATTTATTATATATATTTATTTTAGCTAAAATTATTATTTTTCATATTTTTATACATTTTATAATAATTTTGTTATTAATTAATAAGTATTTATATACTAATACTATTTTTATTATATTGAAATAGTATATATATTGTATTATTAAAAGCTAGATCTTATTCGCCTTTTTTTAATAGTTAAAAAATTAAAAATTTAATGTATTTTTTTATTTGTAACCTTTAAAAAAAAACCCGAAGAAGAATTAAGTTTTCAATAATACAGTATATATATATATATATGTTTTCTTTGTTTATTTATAAATATTTATTTTTAATTAATTTTAATATTAAATCAAAATATAAATTAACTGCTTTTCTTTTATCTTTAAATTTTTTGTTTATATATTAAAATCAATTTTAATATTCATCTTCTTCACTATCTAATTTAGGAACTTTTAATTTAATAGTAATTTTATCTAAAGATTTTGATATTTTATTTACTTTGCCTCTTCTATCAAGTTAAAAATAAAGTTTATTTTTAGTGTTCCATTCACAAATTTTCTCACAATATTCACTCATTTGTTATTCATATTTTTTTTGGTATTAATCTCTAATTT